ATGCTCCACCTCGGGCTGGAACTCGGCCATGACCTCCACCTCAACCTGCGAGCTCGTCGGGCTGCAGACCTGTCGGGTAGTGTGGGAGTGCACTTCCGGGTGCGACATGACCCTCTCGCCCACCACCACCATCGACTATGCCGGACGGATCTACTCGGGCGTGACCCTCAAGCTCGAGGCTGCCACTCTCGGCAGTAGCTACGGTGACCCGGGCGCTTCTGGCGAAGCCGGGCTCACCGTAGCCGCGCCAGACTCGCACGTCTACTACGCGACGTCGGCGTCGGATCCAGCAACGCTTCGGATCAGAGCGACTACGTACCAGCACGTCACCTACGAGCGTGATGCCAAGGTGACGACGACCGGGTACGCGTTCCAGACCCAGGTCATAGCACGGCCGACGTCCGGCTCGCTGGCGTCGGTCCCTGTGCCGGCGCACCCGTCACCGCCGGTTGTCCTCGAGTTTGTCAAGTCGTCCGACCACGAGTTGACCACCGTCGAGCGGCGGATGTCGACGCTCGACTTTGTGGCCGGCCTGGGTGGTCTGGTCTCAGTCATCCTCTCCGTCGGCGGCGTTGCCCTCGCCACCGTCGAACTCGCCGTTCACTGCGGGCCGCTACATGGCGCCAACTCGAAAGACTTGGTCTCCTCTGCCAAGGTCTTACCCACAGAGACGAAGTCTGGCTCGTCCGCGACCACCCGCATGCACACCATCGACACCTGTAGTACCAGCACCGAATCATCGACCTAGCTAGCACCCACAGCAAATCAAACTGCCGCACGCCACCGCCGCCCCGCCCCGCCGTGCCGCCCGACGCGCCGCCACCGACGTTCGCGAACCTCCGCACCTCGGCCCGACCACCACCACCATCACTCTCCCCACCACCACCACCACCACCACCACCACCACCACCACCACCACTCTCCCCACCATGTCCATCATACCCTCTCCCCTCTCCCTCGCCCTCACCATCTCCCTCACATTCACCCTCACCATCGCCCTCGCCCTGTCTGCCGCAGCCGAGGTGACCACCGTCGCCTACCCGGCCGCCGGCCCGAACTACTTCTCGGCCAGCATCGCCGTTGCCGCCCTCTCACCCACCCGCATGGCTCTGGTGGGCTTTGACTCTGCGGCTGGTCTCACCACTTTGGACTGTGCTACCGATGGCTCTGGTTGCTCAACTTATGTGGTCGATGACACCATTGTCGAGGCGCCCACCGCCATCAAAGGCTGGGGCTTCAACTCGCCCGCCGACAAGCTCGCCACCATCCTCGCCGACAAGAACGGTATTCTGCTGGTGGTCTGTGACGCGAGCAACATCTCTGCCTGCTCGGTCACGTCGCTCGGTGTTGCTCCGGATGACTTTCCTCAAACCGCAGGAGGCATGGTCGCTGATCGCTGGTTCATGGCCTACAAGTCTGGCGGCAAGTGCACGTTTCTTTCGGTCGACGTCGCTGCTGTAGTGGATGGCCCACACGACTGTGCCGCTGCCGTGACTGGCGACCACTACTCGGCGGTGGTCGATGCCTCCCGTATTCGCATCGCCAACGTGGTTGGTACGCACATCGAGGTTGGCGTGTGTGAGCATGACGGCAAGTCGTGCGCTACTGCCACCGTCCTCGCTGCTCCGTCAGCCCTAGCCGCATCCGCCATCGCCACCTCTGCTACCGCATTGTATGCGGCAGGCTCGACAGACTCTGTCGGACACCTTGCCAAGTGCGCGCTCGACGGCACCGGCTGCGTCACCGCCATGAATGCAGTCCCAGGCAAGATCCTGGACATGGTAGTCCACTCCTCGGGCTGGCTACTCATCACCTTCCACAGCATGCCGCCGCCTTCCAGCGATACCTACGCTTCGATGGCTGCTTGCGATTTGGATCTGGTCTCCTGTCGCGTTGTCTACACGAGCCCTGATCGTGCCCGGAACGCGATCGGACTAGTCGTCTACCCCGGCGCCCTTGTCCAGCTTGCTTTCGACACCACCTTGTATGCCAACACGCTGGTGCTGCCGCCATGCCCACTGGACCACAAACTGGAGCCGGAGACAAATGCATGTGCGCCATGCCCAAGCCACGCCATCTCCACCGGCCTCATTTGCCAACCTTGCGCGGCCGGCTCGTTGCCCGGCGCAACGCCGGCCACCTGTGCACCGTGCCCTTCGGGCTCGTACTGCCCTTCCGGTGCGACTGCGGCAACACCTTGTGCTGCTGGCTATGTCTCGGCCACTGGCGCTGCCAACTGCACCGCCTGCCCGCCCGGCACCATCTCGAACGCGGACCACACTACTTGTGAGAGCTGCGCCTCGGCCGCGCTCTGCCCGGCCTCAGGCCTCGCGGCGCCGTACCCGCCCGAGGTGCCGCTGGACCGGACTTCGTACTTGCGCACCCATCGCTTCCCGCAGTCGCGATTTTCAGACTCGGACAAGGTGTTTGAGGCTGGAAAGCTTGGTCTGCTTGCCTTTGCCTGCGCCACCGTTTTGCTCTGTGGTCTAGTTGGATGTGTGGCCTTGCGAGCGTCGCCAGAGCTCAAGTCTCACATCTGGGCGCGGCTCGACATCCTTGTCCGACGCAATGATTCCGAGCCTGCTACGGGTGTTCTTCATGAGCGCAAGAGCTGTACAGGTGCAGCAATGACCGTCTTGCTCGTCTGTGGCTGCAGCGTTGCTGTCGCCATCTTCTTCATTCAGTTCCAGTACGATAACGCGACAGTCACTCGCTCGCAGGGCTTTGATCCCGTCCCGTCCGGCCTCGTCAGCGATACCACTTTCCGCACCGCCATCCGCGCCTCGCTCGACTTTGTGCGGACCGACACCGGCTCGAACTGGTGTGTCGCTCCAGACGGATCGTGCGGCTCGGGCGTCACCATCTCCACCTCGGGCTGGAACTCGGCCATGACCTCCACCTCAACCTGCGAGCTCGTCGGCCTGCAGACCTGTCGGGTAGTGTGGGAGTGCACTTCCGGGTGCGACATGACCCTCTCGCCCACCACCACCATCGACTATGCCGGACGGATCTACTCGGGCGTGACCCTCAAGCTCGAGGCTGCCACTCTCGGCAGTAGCTACGGCGACCCAGGCGCTTCTGGCGAAGCCGGGCTCACTGTGGCCGCGCCAGACTCGCACGTCTACTACGCGACGTCGGCGTCGGATCCAGCAACGCTTCGGATCAGAGCGACTACGTACCAGCACGTCACCTACGAGCGTGATGCCAAGGTGACGACGACCGGGTACGCGTTCCAGACCCAGGTCATAGCACGGCCGACGTCCGGCTCGCTGGCGTCGGTCCCTGTGCCGGCGCACCCGTCACCACCGGTTGTCCTCCAGTTTTTCAAGTCGAACTTTCACGAGTTGACCACCGTCGAGCGGCGGATGTCGACGCTCGACTTTGTGGCCGGCCTGGGTGGTCTGGTCTCAGTCATCCTCTCCGTCGGCGGCGTTGCCCTCGCCGGCATCGAGCTCCTGACCGCCCGCTCTGCCCAGCGCCGCGGCTATGCCCCAGCCAAAAGCGTCTCCTTTTCCAAAGTCGCGCCCGTCATCCTCAATTCGTCGTCGCCATCGAGCGCCTCGTCAGCCTCCGCCCCTGCTTCCATCGCCCTCGATCACATCAACTCGCGCGAGCACTCGCTCTCCGACTCGGATTCGTAAACGCGTAAACCAAAGACAGCCAGCCACCCAACCCAGCCGAGGCCGGCCCGACCCAACCCAACCTGCCCAGCATGCCACCCCCCGCCGTAGCCACCCTCGCCCTCGCCCTCACCCTCATCCTCGCCCTCGCCCCTGCCCACGCCCACGCCCTCTTTGCCCGCGACCTCACCGGCCTCCTCTCGCCTCCCGACGCCATACATGTGCTCCTTGCCGCTGGCATCCACCCGGACGATGCGGCGGCACTCGTCGAAGCGCTCCCTGTCGACGGCGCGAGCTACGCTCAGTTTGAAGCTACGCTCATGGCGGCTGCCTCGCACCTTGGTTTGGACCCCATCGAGGCCGCCATAGCCGCTGCCGTCACCGATACGCCTGCCCCGCCCCACGCTGATCACTACGACCACATCCACCCGCCGCCCACCGCTACCCCATCGCCGCCGCCTCTCCGGTCCGCTCCTCCGCTCGATCAGCCCTCGCCTGCTCCGTCTCGCTCGCTCTCTACCCGCCCGCTGGCCATGGCTGCCGTTGCTGTCTTCCTCCTTCATCGCGGCTTTGCCAATGCGCTCCGTCGGCAGGACATCACGCATCCGTCGGCGCTGGTGTTCTTTGCCACCGGTGCCCTCCTTGCCGCCCTCGCTGCGCATGCCCTCCTCGGCACCGCCATGTTCGGCGTGCTCGCTACTGCACTTGCCGCTGCTGCTGGCTACGCCACACTGCATGCCGCCGACTTTATCCGCCTCTCCCGCTGAGCTCATCTGCCACTCACGCCACGTTGAGGCAGAGCGAGACGCCGCTGAGAACCCAGATCGACTCATGCTCCTCGCTCCCGAGGTCGGCCTCAAACACCAGACCCTCGCCCATGGCGTTCGCCCTGCCCTGGGTCACGTACACGGGCGTCTTGAACGTCCCGCCAAGCTTGAGCTTGTGCCGCTCGATGGGCACAATCCGCAGAATCGGAAGATCAGTGACGAGAACCTTGGGCTCCTGCGGTGCGAGCGCACCGGCCTCGCGGTCCCACGACGCGCCCTCGAGGTAGAGTCCGCGGACGTAGCACCCACTCTCGGGCTTTGACTCGACCTCGGCCGGGTCGACAAACTGCGTCACCTGTGTGTACAGCGTCGACTTGTCCAGCGGCCACCCGTTGGCCCGGCACGTCGTCTGCACTAGCGCCGTCAGGTACGCCTCGGGTACATGCAGGCCCGAGAGCCACATCACCGGCGGCTCGCCGTGCGTAACCCAGTCGGCGTACTGTCTGTACCGCTCGAGGAAGTGGTCGATCCATCCCGCAAGCAGCTTCTCTGTCGCCGGCGCCAGCCGCCGCCACACCTGTGGCAGAGCTCCGTTGTAAAGCGAGTGCGCGAGCTCGTCGAGCGAGGCGCTCATGCCGATCTCACCCACCAGCGCCCGCTGCAGCGCGTGCAGGCTGTTGGCAATTGTTGTCAGCAGCGCGTTGAACCGGTCCAGCTCCTGCAACAGCACAACCTGGACTGGCGAGAGAACCGCGCCCATCTCGTTGGTGATGCGGTCGACCTCAAACGCCGCCGGGAGCTTCGACTGGATGTCCATGGCGATCGAGCCAATGAGTGCCTCGCGTGAGAGCCCACCGCTTGCGGTCGCAGACCCGACTCGCGGCTGCAGGTCGATCATGTTCCGCCACAGCGACCGCGTCGCATCCGTCAGGTAGCCAATCTCTGCGTTGGGGTGGAGGCCAAAGACCTGCGGTGAGTTGTGCTGCGGCAGAGCCTCGATCTCGTTGAGGTACCCGCCCAGCGAGTGGTCGCTAGGAATCGAATAAGCCACTCCGCTGCTGGCCTCCTCGTCACCCGGCGCGTAAAAGTAGAACGGCTGGAAGGTGTCAAAGAGAAAGTCGCCCATGTACTCGTCGAGGTACGTGATGAGCACCCGCCGGTCAAAGTCGTCCGTCACGCGCCCGCCGTACATCGCCTCGCCAATGAGGTACCGCAGCGAGCCCCAGGGCAGCGCCGCCTCGCCCTTCTCCCACGCCTTGGTCAGGTACGTCCGTAGCAGCTCAAACGAGACCCGGAAGTCCGACTCGTTAAAGTCGTACGCCACGTTCCACCCAACCTTGCCGTACTTGCGCCGCTCCTGCACCACGGCGTGGAAAAAGGCAAGGACATACACAAGCGGCGGGAACGCCGGGTGTGGCGAAGAGCTCAGCATGTTCGGCGTAATCTTGGCAAACGACGCCGCCATGTTGAACTTGAGCCCGGACGGCGGCTCGGTCACCACCTTGAGCGACCGCTGCAAGATCCCGATCGGGAACTCGTCTGTCGGCTCGGTCGTGAGCCAGAGCCGGAAGTCTTTGTGTGGCGCCTCGAGGCCCTCCAGCAGCTTCTCCAGCTCCTTGAGCCACTTGGTGAGCAGGTGGCAGTTCATGAGCAGAATCCACTGCCCGCGCGTGGCCCCTGTCTCCAGCAGCGTCCGGGCCAGCCCCTCCTGGCCCTGGCCGAGCGAGAGCGTCTTGAGCCGCGCCCGAAAGTCGAGCTCGTCCGCGAGCTTGGACAGGTCAGCGTACGGGTCCGAGCCGGGGGAGAGCACAAACACAATCGGCGCAGTCGGCGTTGACTGGTCAAACACAGACTTGATCGAGACCACCGGCGGCTGCACATACCGCTCGCCCATTTGCGAGACCACAAACCGCGAGACGCCCACATACACCCGGTCGGTTCGGAAGCACCGCAAGAGGCAGAGCCGCTCAAACTCGTTCGCCTCGTGCCCCCATCCGCCAGGCAGCTCCTCGACCTCTTCCGGTGCCTCGGACATGTACCACGAGTGCCACGCGTCCGCGTTCTCCACCACCGCGTCGACCACGGCCTCAAACACGCCACCGAGCCGCTCCAGCCGCTGCAGATCCTCCCATCCACGCGCAGGCAGCCACTCAAGCACATTGGTCCGCTCCGACTTTTGCAGCGAAATGTTGCCCTTGAGGAAAAAGTCGAGCTGCTCGCCTGGCACGGCATCCTGGGCCACCTTGAGTGCGAGCTGGAGCGAAAACGTCAGCTTGTGCCGCTCGAAAAGGCCTGTACATCCATACACGTACACCGCCTCGGTCAGCGCCTGTACAATCGCCGCCAGTCGCTTGCTCATGTTCGCCGAAAATGGCGACTTGACGACCGCAGACGAGAACACGTCCAGGTACGCCAGCAGCGAAAACTCGTACATCGGCGAGATCGCCGACATGCCCGAGAGCGCAAAGAAGAGCTTCGAGCCCCGCGCCGCCGCAGGCCGGTACGCATTCCGCGAGACCTCCACTTCAGCCGCGGTCGTCTGTGCCAGCGCAAGCTTCTCGGACACTTCCGTCCCCTTGGCCTTGGTCTCTTGCAGCGTGGCAATGAGCTCCTCGTTGTCGAGCATGTATCCCGTTGCAGACTCGAGCTTGGCAAGCAGTGAGTTCTCTAAGCTCTTGAGCAGCGTCTTCGATTGCGACATCTCAGTCACCAGCGACTCGCGCTTGATCTCGAGCTCCTCCTTCTCGTGCCGAACCACCACATTGAGCAGCTGGTCCTCCAGCCCGCCCTCGGTCACCGTAAAGTTGATGATCGAGGTCTTGGAAAAGACCGCCGGCGCGTACTCGGGATTCGCCAGTCGCGTTGTAAGGTACAGCCGAAAGTCTTCGTTCCAATCAATCTCCTTGTCGCCTAGCGTGATGAACCGCCGGTTGCCCACGGATTTGATCGCCTTTTCGAGCACAGGGTCAATGACCGGGTCCACGTACTCGTGGATGCCCTCAAAGAGGAGCGGGAATCCGTGCTGGACCGCGTTCTCCACTTGCTTGACAAACACAGGACTGGCAAACGAGGTGACCACAAGACCATTCGGCGCCTCGCGCTTCTTGATCCAGTTGACTGCTTGCAGCTGTGGGTCGATACAGAGGGGCCAACGCGACGACCGCGTCGTCAGAATGCCGTTTTGCACAGACAGCTCGTCCGACGGCAGGCCCTCGCCAGCCCACTGCGAGACCTCGACGTCGTCGGAGAGGAAGCTCGCCAGCGAGAACGGTTCGGAGAGCGCCACCCCGCGCGCCGCAAGATCGTCGAGCCACGTCCCATACACCAGCTCTTGTCGGACGTCAAACGAGAAAAAGCCCGTGTACGAGAGAAAGCCAGCCGCAAGCATGCAGTCACCTTGCAGACGCTCGTACTGCTCTTTGAGGTCCTCGGCCTGCGCCGTCCAACGGACCTTCTCCGTCCCCAGCCCAGACATGAGCTTGGACGCCGCCTCCAGTCGCCGCTGCATGATCGCTGCCTCCTCAGTCAGCTGCGACTTCTCGCCGTCGGCCTGCGCCAGCTCCTTCGAAAGCGCCTCGAGCGTCGCTTGGAGCTCCACAGACTGCGCCTTGAGCTCCTTCAGCTGGATCTCAGACTGCTTGAGCGACGCCTCGAGCTCGGCCACCTTTTGCTTCTTCGGGTTGACCTTCTTGGCCACGTCGGCGTAGTACACGATGGCGTGGACCCAGGTGAGGAGGACAGCGCCGGCCACCGAAGTGCCGTCCATCGCGTCCGGCCGGAACAGATCGTGCTTGCGGAGCTTGTCCGTCACCGCCTTGACTTGCGACCGCTTGATGAGATCCACTTTGTCCATGTACTCGATGAGCGAGCGGAGGAAGGTAATCTTGCCCATCATCACACGCGCGTTCTTGTAGTTGATGTCCTCGGCCTTGGTCTTTCGCTCCACAAGAATGAGCACGCACTCGCACACTTTTTGCACGGCCTCGGGCGGCCGCGCCATCGTCCGTAGCTCGTTGATCTCCCGCGGATTAAGCGACCGCACTGCCGCGTCTGCACGCTCCAACGCAGGCAGCGCCTCCGCCAGCGCCTCTTCGGCCTCCTTCTTCTGAATGATGATCTGGTCCTGCGCAGCAGACAGCTCCGCCTCTTTTGCCCTCACGGCCTCGGCCTTGGCGCTCACTTGCTCGTTCTTCTCCTGGATGAGATCGATGAGCTCGTTGCACTTGAGTGTCTTCTCGTCGAGCACTCCACGCTGCGTCTGCAGCTTGACGTTGAGCTCGTCGAGCTGCTCGCCAGCCTCCACAAGCCGCTGCAGCCCGCCGCCCAGCCGTGCAACCTCTTCGCCAATCTCGTCGCTGCGCTTCTGCAGCAGCCGCACGTAGTTGCTGATAAAGTCGAGGTAGTTCTTCGGCGTGCAGAAGTTGCGCCGCCGCTGCTCCGCCTCGTACCGCTCCGACGCAGCGAGAACAGAGGTGTGCACAAACACCATGTGCTCCACCAACGACTCTTGCATTGCAGCAGGCACCTTGTCCGCCACAAACGCGTCCGCCACCGCGTACAGCGCCTCTTCTGGCCACTGCGAGAACCAGTCGATGATGGTGTTGGAGACAAGGCCCGGGAAGTTCCGGCACCGCACGCGAAGGTCGTCGCCCACAGGCGACATGGAGAGCACGACGTGCAAGTTGTTCCGGCACTTGTCCACAAAGTACGCCCACGAGTCGGACGCAGATGCATTGCTCATCCCGCGGGCGGCCATCTCGTCGCGGACTGCGTTGATCACCTCCTTCTTCTCGTTGTCGTCAAACAACGCTGGCACCATGCCGGACGTGAGCATGTTGTTGATGAGCTCGAGGAACGACTCGTCCGCCACGTGTGCGTCGGTAAAGAGAAACACCACCTCCTTGTCCTCCACGCCTAGCATGGTGTACAGCGTCTTGAGGTCGTCGCGGAACGCGGCCTCGTCGTACCCGCGCGTCAGCTGGATCTCAAACACAGTGTAGCCGCAGGTAAACGCCGCCAGCCGAGTCAGGCTCTTCCGCCCCGACCCGTCCACGCCCACCAGCAACGCGTTGCCGCGCGGCAGCCGCACAATCCGCAAAATCCGGTTGAGGTGCTCAAGCGCATCATCAAAGAGCACCAGCGACATCTCGGTGTGACCTTCGTTGTACTCTTCGAGCACCTCGGTGAAAATCTTGCGCATGACAGAGTAGTCGCCCACGTCCTCGTACAGCCGCAACAGTGCCATCGGTGCGGCACTCCCGCTGCCACCACCGCCATCACCGCCTGGCACCACACCCGGTGCGAGGTCTGCTCCAGACGCCGCAGCCACCACTGACGCGTCGCCGAGTGCAGACACCCGCTTCGCTGCGTCCGCCAGCTCGGCGTAGTCGCCAAACACCAGCGGCTCAGCCATCGCCGACTCCAGCGACTCGGGATAGAACTTGCCAATCAGCTCTTCGATCTTGTTCTGAACCAGCGCCTTGTCCTGCCCAGCGTTGAGCTTGTCGTGGAAGACCCGCAGCGCCTCGTTCCGCCACAGCCGCACAAAGTCGGTCACCGTGGCGAATGCGTCCGGAGTCGAGGTGCAGAGGCCCTCGTAAATCCGCGAGAGGTCGCGAAGGTTGAAGATGTAGTGGAACTTGGACGGCGTCGGGGGCAGGTGGAGCGCAACGTGACGGTAGAGCGCGAGCGACATCTCTGTGAGGAGCTTGAGCTCGTCCTGTAGCTCCTCCGAAAAGGTGAGGAGGTGGTGCGAGAGAATCGAGTTGAAAATCCGCTCCAGCGACTCGTTCGAGGGCTCGGTAATGTGCTGGACGTTGAATTGCGAGACAACCCGTGGATCGATCGAGTTGGCTCCACCGCCCGGCGGCGCCATCGCCGCCACGTACTGCACGTCGCGGAGGAAAATCCACCGCAGGTCATTTCCGCGGTCAAACATTCCGTCTGACGTCATGAGCTGCTTGAGCAGCGCGAGCGGCTGCTGCGTCCCGTAGATGTCGATGTGCGGCATGTTGAGGTCGTCGATGAACACAATGAGCTTTTTGCCTGACGTCGGCCCGTACGTGTCAGTCGTTCGCCTGTCCACATTCGACTCGAGGCTTCGCTGCAGGTCCAGCGACGAGGTCCGGTTCGAAAAGTTGACGCTCAACATCTGGTGGCCCGTCGGGTCGAGGCTCCGCAGGTAGTTGAGGATCGTCACCGTTTTGGCCGTCCCGGTCCCGCCCACAAACAGCACCGGTGCCCGCGACGAGACGAACAGGTCGAGCAGCGCCGTGTTCCGCACAGTGTCCACCGTCGGCACCATAAACTTGTGAAAGTCGTTGTCGGCAGGTGGCGCAAACGGCGTCACCCGTGCCTGCCACGGCTCCCACTTGGACTCGCCGAGGTCAAACACGTAGTCAAAGAGCGTCGGGAGCGCAGTTGGGAGCTGGCCTGGCCCCGCAAGCAAGCCCGGCGTTTCCAATAGGATGGCATCAGAGACTCGCTTGACGAGCGCGTCAAACTTGAGCCGCGACTCAGGCAGCAAGTTGCCGCCAAACGACCACACCAGGCAGTACTGGAAGAGCGACTCGAGGACAAGCGGATCCGTGAGAGGGCTCTCGTCGTCGAGCTGTGCCTCGAGCAGAACGCACAGCTGCTCAGTGTTGTTCACAGCCGTCAGAGGAATGATTGTCGCCAACTTCTCGCGAATGACCCCATCGACGAGGCCCGAGAAAATGTAGTCGACCGCCGGCGGGACGTACTTGTCAAACAGACCCGCCAGCGTCTCGCCCTGGTCGCGATTCGGCCGCCGTGCGCACCATCGCTGGTACACCGGCTTGAATCCGAGGTTGCGCGGGTCGAGATACACCATGCCGCACCGCGAGATCGTCGCCGGTGACGCGTACTGCAAGTCGGAGACCTCAAACAGGAGCTTACAGTGCTCCTGCAGTCTGATCCGCTCGCCATTGGGCAGCGTGAGCAACTTGTTGTCGTCCATCACCGAGTTCATGTTCTCCACCCACTCGGCGTCGACGTCGCCATCAAACAGGATGTACCGCGCAAAGCCCTTGGCTTGTCCGCGCGTGCCGCCGCCGGCGGCGGCGCCGCTGCGCTCGTCGTCGCCGGCCCCGCCCTCACCGGCCGCATCGCCGTCGTCGCCGGTCCCGCCCTCGCCGCTCTCGCCAGCTCCGTCGCCACGCTCGTCGTCGCCAGCCCCGCCCTCGCCGCTCGCACCGCTCCGTCCCGACGCCGCCTTCTTGTTGAGCTCGCGGAAGATCTTGGAGAGGATGCCGTCCTTCCAGTCGCGGGTGTTCGGGTCGAGCTTTCCGTACAGTTCGGGCACGGTGACAGCCTTGGGGTTGATGGTGTAGACTTTGGTCGAGATGTTGAGGTTGTTTTGTGCCCGTCGAAGCGTGTCGATGACCACCGACTTGCCGCCAGACGTTGGGCCAACAACCATGGTCGTGTGGCGGGTCGCCATGGTGTCGCGGAGCTGGAGCACCTTGGAGACCTGGTCGTCGAGCACAACATAGTCTGATTCGCGGAGAGCGGCGAGGACGGCAACGTGGAACTTTTGCGAGACAGACGTGTCGGCTGCGAGCGAGGGGAAGAGGTCCGAGACCAGGCCCTGAAAGAGCGGCACGTCCTCAAACACAAACTTGGGCATGTTCATGTCGCGGAGCGCGCGCATGAGGACCACGTCCTCGGGCGACTCTGGGTTCGCCCGCTTGAGGCTGCCGGCCTGGGTCAACACACTCTTCATGGCACGGAGGCCAAAGTCGTAGTGGTACTGCTTCGAGAGCTGCTCACGCGCGAGCTTGTACAGAACAGTCATCTTTTTGGCAAGCACCTTGGCCTCGACAAAGCCCTCAGAGAAGAGCATGATCTCGCAAATGAGCTCGAGGTCAGGCACAACCATAACAATGGGCCGGAAGAGAGCCTTAAGGTTGTCCGGCAGTTCGCGGCGCCCAGCGTACCCGGGGTTCATCGTCACAAACACGCCCATCTTCATGTCGAGCTTGACGTCGCGACCCTCAAAGTGGATGGTCTTGTGCCCGCGGACCATGGCGAGCTGGATGAGCTTGATCTGCTGCGAGACAACCGAGAGCACCTCCGGCTCGATGCGGTTAAACTCATCAAAGCAGCCCCACGAGCCGGTCTGGACAAGGCCGGAGAAAATCCGGCCCATGGCCTTGTAGTCGAGACCCTCGCCACAGTTGAAGACCAGACAGTAGAGGCCGAGCGCCTTGGCCAGATCCTTGACCGTCTCGGTCTTGCCGGTTCCGGCCGGGCCGGCTGGCGAGCCGCCGAGCCGCATCGAGAGCGCCTGTGTAAGCGTCATGATGCAACGGTCAGTGAGCGGAGTGATGACCAGTCGCCCGTTGAGGCCCATGTACTCGTACCCGTAGAGGAACTCGCCGGTGCACTGGCGGACGCGCATGTCGTCGACATCGCGGTCCCAGTAGAACCGCAGCTGCGACTCCCACTCAAACTCGGACTCGTCGAGGATCGAGTCGCGGACAAAGCGGTCGATGACGTCGCGCGCGTGGACGTCGATGATGATCGTTGTGTTGACCTTCTTCCGGTCAAGCTTGTTGAGCGGCGTCCGCACCCGCTCCACCAACTCGTTGAGCTGGCGGGTCAGCTTCGCCGCAAATGTCTTCATCGCCAGCTTATTACCCTTGCGGACCTGCCGGAAACATCTTCCACCTCCCACGTCCACCACACTTGCGAGCCGGCGAGCGCCACCATCCCGATCACCGAGAGCAACCACTTGATCCGCGGAAGCTTAGCGTAGTTGAACACGGCCTTCTTGGTCAGCAGCCGCAGCGAGGCCTGCATCTCAGCCTCCACTCCGGTCATCCAAGCTTCGACTGCGCCGCTGGCCGGAACCGGGTTGGCAAAGGCGAATGACTCGCCCTCGGTCGACTCCATGCCGACCACCGAGGCCTCAGCCCGGCCCGAGCCAAAGACCAGAGCCCCGGTGTTAGAGAAGAGCTTGACCATGTGCTCCTGTACTGCTCGCGGATCGTGCGAGCCAAGGATGGAGAGCAGCTCCTCGTCGGAAATGAAGAAGAAGCGCGGAAAGGCGATGCGCTTGGTCTCGAGGTACTCGGAGAGCGATTTTTGGCACTGCTCGAGCTCAAAGGCGAGCGTTTCGAGCTTGCCGAGTCGCCCCTCGGCGTGGCACGCCTCAAGTACGTTGGTGTTCTTGAACGTCTCGTTCATGAGCTTGATCCACCGCGAGTCGATCGAGTCGAACGCCTTTGCCTCGTCCGGCAGCTGGAGCCGGATGTCGGCCGAGCCGATGAAAATCGACTCGAGATACATCCACTTGCGCTGGACCCGCATCCAGACTTCGGCGACTTCGGCAATGTGCGAAAGGTCGGCCTCCCACTTGGTCACCTCCGACAGGTGCGCCACCACATACCGCGACGCCTGCATCGACTGCAGCTGCATCATGTTGTCGTCGAGCGCCGCCACAATGTCCTCCGTCGACCGCAGAATGTACCCGCGGTCTGCGGTCCCGTTGTTGTACATCTTGATGTCAAAGTGCAGTTCCTTCCACACCTGCGCCATGGCGGCAATGCCCTTTTCGATTGAGAGCTCCTTCATGGCGCCCGACGTAATCTCGCCGATCTTGTCTTTGTACCGGTGGAGCTCCATGGCAAAGAGCGCCTCGAGCGTGAACGACGTCGGGTCGAGGTCAAACGACATGCCGGTCACATCCATGAGCTTCTGCCAGTGACGCGGACGGAGCGCGTCGTTCTTGAGGTCCGAAAACAGCGGGATCGAGTCCTTGAACCCGAGAATCTTCTCCTCCACCACACCAAACGGCTCCAGCTTCTTGAGCTCGCGTGGCAGTCGCTTGAGCTTGGTGAGAAAGATCGAGGTCCCGCGCTGGAGCTCCGAGACATCCAGCTCGCCCCAGAGCGTAGAGCTCCACGACGCAATCCTGTCCTTGATCTCTGAATAAAGGTCGTAGATAAGCCGCAGGTCGTCCATCTTTTGCTCGACAAAGACCAGCTGCGGATACGAAGTGATCGGGAGGTTGAAGAGCTTTTGCGCAAGAGCGAGCGACGCAGCCTCAGCCTTGAGCTCGGAAGCACGCTGCGTGTACGACGCGAGCAGCTCGAGGCCAGCGTCCATGTCGCGCCCGACCGTATCGGGCCCGGCTCGCACAAAGTCGTTCTTAAACTCCTCCACCGCGCCGGTAAAGGCCTCGACCTGGGCCGAGGTGTGCGCGGTGAACTTGTCCTTGACAGACTCGAGCTCGACATCGACGGACCGCGCTTGCGCCACCAGGTCGTGCCACGCGCTGCGGAGGCTGGCAGCTCGCTCAAAGACTGGCGCCCACGTCGGCGCCGCGTCCACAAGTCCGTACGATGGCGTCCGCAGCGTGCGGAACGCTTCCTCGGTCGCCCCGATGGCAAGCTCCATGTCCATCGACGAGTCGAGGATGACGGCAATGGTGTTGAGCACAAACTTGAGGTCGTCGATGCCGGTGTCCGGTGGCGTCTCGAGGTCGGCCTTGAGCGCGGCCATTCGCGCCTCGAGTGCTTCGAGCTCGCCGAGAGCTGCGGCAAAGAGCCGTGCTCCGATGTCGGTCTTCCACTGGATCATGGCCTCGGAGATGAGTTGCATGAGGTGTCCGAGGTCGAGCCTCACAAACTCGACGTCATGGACCCGCGACTTGACCAGCAGCGCGTTCATCTCGGCCTGGTAGTTGTAGAGGAGCGTGTCAAAAGCCACGGTGGTCGGCTTCTTCTTCACAAAACGGTCGAGCGCCTTCTCACGGTCGCGCCACACGTTGGCATAAACCTCGGACCACTTGGCCTTGAGGTACTTGTCGACAGCGCCGCCTGTGGCATCGACGTGCTTGACAAGCTTGGTGGCCAGCGACCGGACCTTGGTGTGGCCGGCAATGTCCGGGTAGAACGAGAACTCAACGTCGGCCGACGGAATGTCGTCGGCCGTTCCACGCTTGAATCGCGGAACGGCCTTGAACGCGCTCAGTGTCGAGTCGATGACGTACCGGAGTCGCTCGCGGATGACCTCGTACGAGGGTGCTGTCACAATCTTTGGCTGCCGGATGACAAGGACCTTGAAAAGCGGGCCAAGCCGGGTCGGTCGGAGGCCAGGCACCTCGCCCGAGGCGGCCACTTGGCTCACCACCTCAATTCCGCCGAGGATCGACGGCGTCTTCTCAACGGCGTTGCCAACGTGCGCGCCGAGGTCTGACTCGCCCTCGCCGGCGTTGGTGCTCGGCTGCCCGAGCCGGGCCGAGCGAGTTGTCGCCTTGCTCGAGCGGCCCGAGCGGCCGGTCCGGCCGGTCCGGCTGGACTTTGCTGCTGAGAATGAGCGCGAGCTCCGCGAGTTCTCCCGTCCGCCGGCGCCGGTGACCGCGACCGACGGAACCGGGCCTGCCGGTCCAGCCGCGGTTGTTGACGACTCGTACGTGGTGGTGATGCCAGCAGAGAGGAGCGCCATGGGCGACGACTGCACGAGGGCAAGAGTGGCGCTCTCAGAGCGCTTAAAGTTTGCGCGGACAAAAAAGAGCTCTTTGAGCTTTTTGAGCGAGTTGAGCGCGGCCTTGAGGAGAGCGTCGTAGATCTTGGCCTCCCACTTGCTGTAGTAGGCGGCGATGACCGGCTCGGACGACGCGGCCTCGCCGTAGAGGAGCGAGCCGATGGCGCGGAGCTGCGAGGCCACAGCGGCCTTGCGCTCCAGGAGCACGGTGACAACTGACTTGCGGTGACTGTCAAAGAGCGCGACGAGCTCGTTGAGGTCGAGCAGGTTCGCGGTCGCGTCCGGCCCGGTCTCAGCCGCAATGGCCGCCGAGACCGCCGCCGAGACCGCCGCCGAGACCGCCGCCGCGTCGCGGTCGCGGTCGATGGGCGCGAGCGCCGAGGCAGCAGCGTCGGCCGACGAGACCAGCGGGGCCTGCGGCGGGTCGGCGACCAGCTGCATTCGCGAGATCTGAGCGACGAGGTCGGCAGCGCGGGCGGCCGACTTTTGGACCTGGACCGCCGTGGAGCGGAACGAGGTGATGGCGGCGGAGCAGGCGGCGATAAAGTCAGGAATGCCAAGTGACTTCCAGTTGAGGGCGGTGAGGCCAGGATGGAGGACGGCGGAGAGCTCGGCGAGGTGGCGCGGCGCCATGATGGCGGCCTCGGCCGGTGCCAGCAGCTCGACAGCCGCGGTATAATCCTCGATGACCGACGAGAGCTGTTCGACGTACGCGTGGTACTTGTCCTCCTGCAACGAGACGTTGAGGGCGCGCTCCGGAACTGTCCGGCCGGTGGCGTCGATGTACTTGGTCTCGTGAATGAGGGTGAGGAGGCCAGGCGGAAAGTTGACGACGATGCGACCCGAGTCGGGGTCGAGAGCCAGCACGTTGCGCTTGAGGTAGCGGTCGGCGTCGGTGTCTGCGCGGGCGACCCAAGCCTTGTACAGCTCAGTCTCGTAGTGGAAGATACGCCGCGAGAGGTCGAGGTACGCGTTGCGGACCGACGAGTACTCGGGACGCGACTTCATCTCCTCAGACTCTTGGAACTTGAGGATGGCCTTCTTCATCTTGAGGAAGAGATCGTGCGACCAGTTGATGGCACCCGCAACCGGTGGCTGGTTGCGTGGAAGCGGCGGCGCAGCTTCGAGCCGCTCAAAGAGCTCGCGGATCTGGGCGACCTCGAGGCCAAACTGCGTGAGGATCGACATGTTCATCTGCTTGAGGTGGTCGCGGATGGCGGCGCGGCACTTGTGGACTTGGACGCGCTGAAGGAACTCAAACGTGCCGTACGCCGACCGGAGCTGGGTAAACGACTTGTCGATGAACTCTTCAGCAGCCTTGTCGATGGTGGCGGTCTTGACGAGGAACCGCTGGTAAATGTCTTTCCAATACGCGGCGCGCTTCTTGTCAAACGGGTCAAAGGTGACGTTGATGATGAGCGAGGTGAGGGCGGAGACTTGCTTGATGACGTTCTCAATCTGCTCCGGCTCGCCGGTCACGGTCTTGAGCTCGGGCCCGAGCGTGTGCTTGAACTCGTCGAGAGCCTTGGCAATGAGGAAGAGCTCGTCGCAGCGTTCAGACATGTAGTCGGTCTCGTCGAAAAGCAGGTTGCGGTCAAACTCCCAGCGGCCGTTCTTCTGGTCCTCGACAGTGCGGCGGACCTCTAGATAGACGGCCGACCACGAGTCGAGGACATGCTTGGCGGCCGAGATGTGCGCCATGGCCTGGTCGGGCGTCATGTCGCGGAAAAGCTTCTTGAGTGGGAGCTCTGACGAGACGCGGTCGGCAATCTGCCGCGCACACCGCTCCAGCAGCTTTTGCAAGTTCTCGTCGACCCGAAAGTGCCGCGAAATGATCCACACCATGCGAATGGCCGACATCATAGGCATGAGCGTGTTGGCCATAGCCTCGAGCGAGCCCTCGTACAAGATCTTAAAGTGTCGCTCGAGGGTGGTAAGAAACTTGACGTTGTCCTTGGCGTGCAGGTACTCCTTGGACAGCTCCTTGATCGAGTACTTGAGCTCGCGGACAGCCGCAAACTCGGAGACCTCGAGAACCCGCAGGATGTTGGCCACGATCGGAAGATTGAACTGCTCGTGCGCCTGCGCAAGAACGGCGTGGAGCTCGCGCCAGTACGCAACCTCGGCCATCGGCCCACCGCCGACCCGCTCGAGGCTCTTGATCCGCTGAAAGAGCGCGGCAATGTCACGCGTCCACTCGTAGCACGCAGACTCGAGCCGCTGCATGAGTCCAAGGTTGATGATGTGGCGCGCCATCTGCTCGGCCGTCGTTCCCACCATCTTGACGTCCGGAATCTGGATGGTGACCTCGGCCCGAATGTGCTGCATGGTGTGAACAATCTGTGCCGCAAACTTGTTGATAAAGTCCGGAACAGCAAGCGCACTCGCCGAGCTGCTCGACGCGCTGCTGCTGGCCTCGGCCCCGCCATCCGACGACGCCGCAAGCTCACGCGCAATCAACGGTGCGTACACCTCTTTCAGCACCGTCTCCATGAACGGCAGCGCCTCGGCACACAGAATGCCGACCTCAAACATCTGCGTCATCGAGCTGTTAACCACCTCGGGTGACGAGTTGTTGTGGATCGGATCGCTCGAGTTGCGCATAAAGTACATCGATGCAATCTCGAGGAGGCCCTCGGGCAGCTCCTCAAACTCAACGTGGACCGTCGTTACCTCCTCGTCCACGCTCTCCATCAGCCGCACCGTCTTGGTCTTTGGCAACGGAAGTTCAAAGTTGGTCCGCCAGTCGGCGGCGCCGTCCGAAGACGACGAGGAGGACGAGGAGGAGGAAGAAGACGACGATGACGATGACGACGAAGACGTCACCGAGACGGCGTCGTCATCGTCACTGCCGTCACCCGGCGCCGACGTCGCAGGACCGTTGCTAGACTCGGCAGCGTTCGCATCTGCCTTGGCAACTGCGTCGGCATCTGCGTCAGCACCGGCAGCGGCAGCGGCAGCAGCAGCGGCAGCAGCCTCGGCATCGGCCTTTGCCTGGAGGGCAGCAGCACGCTCGGCCTCCATAGCGGCGTACTCCTCGGGCGGAATGGGCCGCTCGACATCGACCGGCACCACACGAGACTTCATCTCACGGGTAGTGTAGAACAGAATGACTGAGGCCTCGAGCTCCCCGTCGAAAAAGTCGCGGAGTTCGTCGTAGCGGCCGCCTTCACGGAGCAAGCCAGTACCAATGACACCAGCGTCAAAGGCCTCCTTGCTCACCTGCAGACCAAGCATGACCTGTTTGCGGAGCCATGCCAGCCTGACATCCTCCGCAGGGTCCAGCACCTTGCCGTCGTCAAACTCCATCTTTGACGCACGAGTGTGTTGGCGGGGTAGGGGTAGAGAGGCGGGAGAGGGGGGGAGGGGGGAATGCGCACACACACGCACACACACTCTAGTGGTTGGTGGAGGGAGTGGGGGGTAGTGGAGTGTGGTGGAAGGGGTGGAGTGTGGGTGAGGAAGAGTGGGTGGGGGTGGGGTGGAGTGGGGAGGTGGAGTGTGTGAGAAGGTCGGGGTGGTGGTGGTGGTGGTGGGTGGTTGGCGGGGAGGGGAGGGA